TTGCCCAATTTTTTTCTCTGCATAATTACAGGGTTGTTTTTGGTTTTTTTTCCTCTCTTGCAATTACTAAATGGTCTGCTCATCATCTAAAATTTCCCCTGGATTTAGTAGCCACTATTTATTCTTGTCCGAATCGGTCTTTACTATGATGGCTGTAAATGATGATTATTCAACTCCAACACTCTGCACAATGACCATTTGGTCCTCAGCATTCTACTGTAAGCAAGAGCCCTCCCACCTTCTCCGTTAAATAATTTACCTATTATCAGGATGGGCTCATGAATTCCTATTTTCCCCCCGGCAGTTTATAATTTATAACTGTACTGAGTTATTTTTCTGCCCAAATTGCTCCAGATTTGACCAGGAGGGGCCTTCTCAAGCTTGCTTCTGTGTCTATGTCATTTTTTTTTTTTAAAAAAGTATTTCCTAACTTTCTGGCATAACAAAAGTTTCCATATTTATCTTAGACCTACCCTGCCCCAGCCTCGGAGTCAACCATTTTTCCAAGAAACACTGATTTTAGTGGGAAATGGTATTAAAGACCATCATTAAACTCTGCTTCTGACCCTTTATGTGGACAGAGTGAAGAAATGTATACATCTATACATACATATAACACATAAAACAAATACGCATGCATACACACATATTTATGTGTGTGCAAAATCGTGCGTATACATGCTCAAGTTTTAGAAGTGATGAGTTCACACCAATTCCTCAAATTCTACTCCAACCCTACAGCACTCTTCCTTGCCTTCCCCTGTTCCGTATTTGTACATCTCTTCTTTCACAGTGAGAACCCTAACTCGCAACGCATCAGCAGATGTCCTCATTTGCCCGGTCCTATATTAAATCTAAGAGTTTGAAAATTGCTTCTTATGTAACACTACTAAAAACTAACCTACTAAAAAGAGTTCAGAATTTGTTCATACTTGTTCCCCCTTCTATTCCCCTCCCCACATACCATTCTGTTCCAGAACAAGGATTATATAATCAAAAACTGTGTTCATAAATGACTTGGACTGGTTCTTTCTTCTTTTTTCTCCCCCTTCAGTATGGTCATAGTAACCGTATGAAATACACTTAAATTCATTCATTTCCATTTTCTTTCTGCTGTAGTTAGGTTCTTCCCTGTGTTCATTCTTATTGATTCCATTTGATTTTTTGAATATGTAGGCTGGTAACATACGACCGTATATTACTAGCATCACTTAACAATGGGGTTACGTTCTGAGAAATGTGTGATTAGACAATTTTATCTTGTGGGAACATCATAGAGTGTACTTACACAAACCTAGATTGTGTGGCCTATTATTATATTACACACCTAGGATATATGGTATAGCTTATTGCTCCTAGGCTACAAACCTATACAGCATGTTACTATATTGAATAGTGCAGGCAATTGTAATATGATGGTAATTATTTGCATATATAAATATAGCTCAGCATAGAAAAGCTACAGTAATATTAAATAACATGGTATGAAAGATGGTACATCTATATCAGATACTTACCATGAATGGAGCTTGCAGGAATGGAAGGTGATTTGGGTGAGTCAGTGAATAAGTGATGAGGGAATATGAAGGCCTAGGACATTACTGTACGCTACTGTAGAACATAAGTACACTTAGGTTATACCAAATTTATAAAAACTAAAATAATTGTGCACTATGTTACAATGGCTACAATGTCACTTGATGATAGGAGTTTTTCAGCTCCATCATCTTATGGGACCACAGTCATATACACAGTCCACTGTTGACCATCATTGATCATAGTACTTTCTAGTCAAAACTACATGAAAAAGTACACTCAGAGAGCCGTCATTCCTTTTTGTATTCCTTCCACTCCATTACCCCAACCCCATCTACCTGTGAGTAACCAACCTCAGTATTTTCTAGTTTAACCTTCCTCTGCTCCTTGGGTAATGATTAATTAATTAATTAATTAATATTCACTTATTTGTCTTTTTTTACAAAGAAGAGCAACAAGTGGGAGCATCATAACTGAGATGCAAAGGGAAAGCGCATCTTTAGAAGAGTGTCTGCCATAGGAAATAGAAGTAAATTCTGGAAAGCTTCCACTTTGGGTTCTTTTGGAATTCAAGTAAACATAGGCTCTATAAAATTAGAAGAAATATGAGGGAACAGGATGAATAAAAATGGATCTAGATGAAAGGTGACTAGAAATAAAAGCTGCTGATAAAAAGAAGAAAACATTGTGAAAAGTTTCAGAATCCAAACATTGGAATAAAATTCTGCTTTGGAAGTGGAAAAGAACATAACTAAGCAAATTAAGAGAAGTATATATTACAATAGTTTTAGAAAATGCTTAGGAAAAGGATGAATAGGTAAACATGATAGGAAAGGGAGAATATATATAAGAATGAGTGACGGAAAATGGAAATCCAACTTATAAATAATTAGTGAGATTAGTACCCTTGAAGAAGACCAAAGTCAATAGAACTAAGGTATTAATCAAAGCTACAATAGTAAAAAAGTGGAGTCTATATTATTTCCTCTTGCTGCTGTAACAATCACTACAAATGTAGTGGTTTAAACACTGCATATTTATTAGCTTAGGGTTCTATAAGTAAGAAGTCTGATTTAACTAGGCTGTTAGCAATGCTGTTTCTGTGCCTTGTCCAGCTTTCCCAGGCTTGTGACCCCTACCCCCATTTTCAAAGTCCCCAATGGCCGGTTGACCCCTTCTCACACTGCATCTCTCTGACTCATCTTCTATTGTCATGTCTCTCTCTGACCACGACAAGGAAAAAGTCTCTGCTTTTGAGATCCATGTCGTTAGATTGGATCCACCTAATAATCTAGGAAAATATCCCCATCTCAAAGTCACAACCTTAAATAATACCTACAAAGTCCTTTAGCCATATAAAATAACACACGAGGCCGGCGCTGTGGCTCACGCCTGTAATCCTAGCTCTTGGGAGGCCGGGCGGGCGGATTGCTCAAGGTCAGAAGTTCAAAACCAGCCTGAGCAAGAGCGAGACCCGTCTCTACTATAAAATAGAAAGAAATTAATTGGCCAACTGATATATATATAAAATTAGCCGGGCATGGTGGCACATGCCTGTAGTCCCAGCTACTCGGGAGGCTGAGGCAGGAGGATCGCTTGAGCCCAGGAGTTTGAGGTTGCTGTGAGCTAGGCTGACGCCACGGCACTCACTCTAGCCTGGACACAAAGCGGAGACTCTGTCTCAAAAAAAAAAATAAAAATAAATAAAAATAAAAAAAAATAAACACACGCCCCAGTTCCAGGCATGAGGGCGTGGATATCTTTAGGGGCCATTATTCTTCCTCCTAGAGAGTCAAAGACAGACCTAAACTTGTAAATGAAAGAAATATCTCTGAGGTCTAGATAAAATTATAACAAGAAATCAGACCTTCGTGCATATGTTATTTCAATTTCGTAAAATTAAGGAGGCAATCTGGTTGCAGGAGAGAAAGCAGGAAGAGAATTGTTATCAGGCTTAGAGAGCTTGTCTTTCTGATGTGTCGATATATCTACTGGTTCTCATTTCATCATCACAAGTCCC